TGAGAGACTGGGGGGATAATATGAGAAGAAAGTGTAATACATCGCAAAAAATTCTTAAGATCAGCATTTTTCCCCTTGTTTTCACAATTTTATGATAAATCGGGAGAATTTGATATGAATCGGGAGAGCGGGAGGCAACACTTCAAATCGGGAGGGCTGGAATCTCTGATTTAAACTAGTAGTAATCAAAGATCATGAGTGCATTCGACACGGTGACTTTCATATATATACCTTAAATGATTTAACTAGCTGACTTTCAACTTCTGTCTATTGCTAAAATCAACTTTTTCCATGAACAACCGAGGCTTTACACAGACAGATATATCATAGTGTCAAATTCGGTCGTTATGTAATAGTATATGCCATATGTCACGTTAGGCCGAACGTTCGCATAAAAGTGAAAAAAAGGATAACATTGAGAGCTTGGGTCGCCTGTGTACATCTTAGCCCAGGCACTCATTTCAGCTTTCTCGTTTCTGGTTATCTCCTGTGAAGTTGGGTTTAAAATTTTGATGCGTAGCAAGGGTAACTGTATGTGACATTGGCTGTTTATAATATGAATTTGGATGTGTGTAATACGCTTCTGCCCACTTAGAAACGCTTTTCGCAGCTTCTTCAACTGATGTGCCAGACATCATTGGATATTCACACAATGTAAAAGCGTCTCTCTAAAAATGTGTTACGCATGCTGATTTTCAACGTGAAAGGTTAAGATCGAGTGCCTCCACATTGGATCTCATTTTGTAACCGGGAAAAAATGACAAGTCCTGCACATGCTAAATCTGGCTAAACATACCCAAAATTGACACAAACAAGGTGCTTTAAACATTTCCTGACGTTTATCAATCCCAAGAAATACGATGATGTCTCGACTGGTCATGGTTACAAAATGTTTATCTCATTCCCAGTCCCAGTGACCAAATCCCATTTTCTCAGGGCAAAAACAGGCCAATCCCACTTCCCATCTTACCCCGTCAGGACCCTCTTAGAGAAAAGACTAGCTACCTGAGTCACAGTACTGGCAATCTCTCAAGACTGATGGGTAGTCCGTGCCCGGGACGAGTCCGTGCCCTGTTCTACTGTGACGGGAGTACTAGACCAGTAGCGGATCTAGGGGAGGGACCCGGGGCCGCCCCCTTATCTTGAGTGAAAAACGAAAAAAATCACAGAAGGAAGAAAAGCCTGCAGGGAAAGCAAAAAATCCGGGCCCCCACTACTTAGCTCAAGGTCTGGATCCGCCACTGTTGACCGGTCTGTGGACAACCTCTGTGGACTGAAGTGGGCTCCAACTGGGAGTATTAAAGGGTTCTGTATTCACCCGATGGGCTTTGTAAAATGGAAAATGACCTGTCTTTCAATTCGTTTCTCCATCTCACATGTAGAGATTTTTGCAACCTTCCGGCTTTTCCCAGCCTGGTTCTCAGACGTTTTCCTGCTGACCTGGGAACGAGGTATAGTATATCCCAGAATACCAAGCGTGTCACATTCAATATGTCGGCGCAAAGTGAAGCAGACCATGTGGATGGAGATAAAGATAAATATATGGACGAAACATTGGAGGAAGCTGAATTAAAGTCGACTGTATTGACTTTAGAAAGTATCCTTTTACATTTATTTATTTCTTTTTTCGTGTTTAGTTCCTTAATTAACCAAACTTTAGCGGAAGAAGTTGTAGCTTTCGATCAGCTGTGAATTGAGCTGAGTACAATGCTAAACTTTTTGCCATAATGTTTTTTCACGCGGGGTTGCAGATGTAGATTTAATCCTCTTTGTAGTTTCGTTGATATTTTATAACTAATTTTAAATGAAAATTATCAAAAATTCCAGCAGATGATGAACAGACGCACAAAAGCATCGAAGTCTTCCAAATGCTGCTAACTAACTGATCATGAATTAATAGGACACGTCACAAGTTACAACTTATAATCTTAAATGTTTATTTTCCGGCGTGAGGTCCCTATCGAGAAAAAATTTCTGAGATTTTCACCCTTTCAAGACAGAAGATAAAGCGTTTTTTACTACCAGGGATCGACCAAAACCGGCAAACAACGTTTTCAGTTGCTACGTGCTATTATTGTAATTTGTTTAGGGAAAGATATGTAAATAAATATCAGGTTTTAGTAGCCAGTCAGCTGTATTCTACTGGAAATCTGCAACTCTGATTGGTTCTGTCTTGCTGCTCTTGAAACTGAAAATTATTCTTAAATTTAGGCTTAAAAATACACAGAATTGTAGGTTTCATGCTGTAATCCTTAAGTGTCTACTAAAACAATAAATTAGACTACTCGCCCTCATTTTCTATGAGTGATGGTCAACTTGGCTATGCCTTGTTGACTATTTGCTCATAGAAAACTCGGGCTCATAGTCTTAGTGTTAAAAATACCTAGGGATTAATGTGCATAGTATTAATTTCTCGTTCTTTGCATAACAAGCCGAACAAGCCAGTAATTAAATAGTGTTACAGTTCTTTCTATTTTTTGACTTGAAGGAAAGATGTTGTTTTTTTGTATGGGGAGAGAAATACCATCTTGAAGATTTGTTTGGTTACTAGCTAAATTCCATGCAGTTGGGAAAAAGGCCACCTTTGAACTTTCCATTAAAACCAAACCAAAACCAATGGCAACATTTAAGGGGCCAAAACTTTCTAGGGTCAAGAGAGGCACCACCTAACATGGTCAGGGCTCGAAAAAAAGTGCTGTCCAGTTGTTCAGGACAAGTAGATTCTCCTTCTGGACAACTAACTTTTCACTCCTACTCAGCGCCCAATGGGCAAAGGGATCGGTCAAGTTGTCTGCCAACCAAGTCATTAAAAGAGCAAACTAAGACTTGTGTGGGACAAGCAAATTTCAAGGGCTACTTGTCCCAGGTGCAAGCTGGAATTCAAGTTTTTTTCAAACCTTGAATTGGTCAGTGGAATTAGATGTAAAAAGAAAATTATGATCGAGGTAGAGATCAAGCAGATTTCTGCTATTAAGTCAGTAAAGCATTATTTGTACCCACAAGTACTTGCATTCGCAAGGTGCAAGTAGAAATGTAGTAAAACGTTCATATGCTATCTGGATCTAAGCTTTAGACTGCAAGAGCCTTGGATCATCTTAGAATACTTAAATTAATTAATAATAAATTTCACATGCCTCAAAAAACACTGAAATTGATCAAGATGCAGGTTATATAGAGATGTGTATGTTTGCACATGGCTTTTACTTAACATCTTGTTCAACAAGTTCTACCAATCATCAAAGATGCACAAGGGCAGCATGGATTGAGGCATGGAGACTATCAAAGATATAGGTATTCTTAATATTCTTAGAACATGAGTTATGTGGAAAATAGCTTGTTTCTTGTAGGGAAAGGTTTGTTGGTTGTTTTGGTGCATTATTCATGAATTTAACTGGTGCAAACATGTAATTGTAGTTTTAAACTACAATCACCATATGCATCTTGTAAATGTACTGAAACCTTTATTAAGCAGACCCCATATTATGCGGACACGCTCTCTTAAGTGGACTCAAGCTTGACTCAGTCCCAAAATTTTCCTCCTAGATTTACTTTAAAGTGCATATGACATGAAAAATGTTTTCTGCTTATTTGAAAGGCCTTTCAAAATACAGAAGAATGGCGTTTTTCTTTTTGAAATATCTTTTTTCGTTTTAGAGATATTGACATTTTTCTATTATGCAAATCAGATCAGTGATGACGTCATCTTGTTTCCAACTAAAAATGGTAAAATACTGAATAAACAATATCTCTAGGAATATTGAAGCAGTGTTTTTGAAACTTGGACCACAAATGTACATCATAAAAGAAACGAAATGATACCCTCAGTGCTGTTGCCATAGCAACTCTTTCAGCTCGAGTCTCTTTCTGTCAAAAAACTGAATATCCCCATTTGCAACCTCTAAAGTGAAACAAATTGTCCTACTTGGAACAGACATAGTTCCCATATTGTCTTAACTCCCATCATTAGATTGGGTGGGGTAGATGGTTCTTGGTTTAAGACAAAAACTGGGAATTTCAGTGTTTATTTAGACAGCACCAGTGGCAAAACTGTTGTCATGGCAACAGCATTAAGGGTGTCATTTTGTTTCTTTTGTGATGTACATTCGTGGTGCCAAGTTTCAAGAACACTGCTTCAATATTCCTAGAGATATTGTTTATTCAGTATTTTACCATTTCCAGTTGCAAACAAGATGACGTCATCACTGATCTAATTTGCATAACAGAAAAATGTCAATATCTCTAAAACGAAGAAAGATATTTCAAAAAGAAAAATGCCATTCTTCTGTATTTTGAAAGGCCTTTCAAATAAGCAGAAATTATTTTTCATGTCATATGCACTTTAAAATAAACCTGGATTCAGTGGACATGTCTGTTAGGTGGATGTGGAGACCAATATTAAGCCATTTTGTTGCACAAAACCTGCAATGGTGGACATTTCAAGGGCTTTCTACTTCTAAAAGCTCAGCTCAGACTCCTTTAACACTGTTCAGCAATATCTTTTCAAAGCTAAGTAGATTATTCCAGATTGATGCATTGACTAAGTGAATATTGTGTTCTGAGCAGTCCTTGATCATACACTGTGTTACACTGAGTTACAAAAGGGTTAATAATTAACTATTGCTGCACAATATGTTAGAACCTACTTAGAGTGGACACCCTGTATTAAGCGGACACTGCTGAGGGTCCCAAGTGTGTTCGCTTTATACAGGTTTCACTGTATTACATCCTTGCAGGATCTTGTGGAGACTGGGGTGGGTGCATTTCTGAGGGAGGGGTACATGTTCCATTTCTACTGCAAGAGTTAGTGAGTCTGGTGAATATGAAAAATATAGGGCGGCAGCTCAAAGGTTCCCTAAACATGTGAGAAATTTCCATTTTAAGCTTTTAGGCATTGATATCCCATAATGGTTTTCATTGTAGTAATGCTTATCGGTAAATGGTTGATTCCTAGATTTGATAGAGCAATAATTGGGAAACAGCCAAAAGGAATATTGACAAAGTTTAATATAGTTTTAAAGATTATTTCCCTGTGATTGATATTTATAGAGTATAAGCTTTGTTTATGAAGTCAACTTCCATAACCAATAAATTTTCCTTAAGTACACGTAGCATCTGTCATTTTGGGCTTCAGAGCTATTCTCTTCTTATGATTTGATAAAATTAAAGAGGATTTTTTTTTTGCATAGTGTGCTAGCTTTATATGCTCTGCTCAGTGCATTGGTATGTAGCTTATGGTGGTTGACTTCAAAACCATGAGCTACATTTAAGAAATTTTGATTAAGGGTACTGGCAAGGGTGTATAGTAACCTTCTGCCCTGTTCACTTCTTCAGTACACAATTTCATTCTCTCTACACTTTGTTTTATGACTTAAAATGGAATCAATCTTTTCCTTTTGGACGACATTAAAGTATACAGGAGCACCCTATATGGCAAACATGGTCTTAAGTAACCCTTGTAGAATTAACAGCATTCTTCCTTCCAGGAAGGGGAAATGAATGATTATTAATAGATGTATAACAACCTTCCACAGTAGTAAACATTTTGAAGTGAACTATAATGAAATTTTTGGACTATCAAAAAATATCATGATGATCAAGGCTATAATGCATGTGCATGTCATTAAATTGCAGAAATATACATGTTTGAAAAGGAACATAAAATACATGTAGATTGTATAACTTACAATAACTGTAATTTGCATAAAATAAAAACTTGAAAAGTTGGCATCTTCAGTAGCATCCATTCTAATTGCTGTCCATTATCTTTCAGGCAGTATTGTCAACGAAGGTTGAGACGGTTGTACAAGACTATGAATTTCCAGCATGGTTCTCGGCATGCGTTTAAATCAAAGAAAGTAACACAAGATCTACTCAAAGATGTTAAGTAAGTAGTGTATCAGTTTACTTGTCAGTAAGACCACTGCTACAGTATATCCTAAGCTGACCACAGATGGAAAGATGTGCTCTTTTAAACAAGCTCAATTAAGAAACAGTCAATTAAAGAAGAATTTCATCAACATTCCTTATGCAACAGCTGTTTCCATAACTTATATTTACACTTTAGAGTGTACATGCAGCCCTCCTCCTGACTTCCTTTAAAGAGTTGCATCAAAGGAAACTCTGGAGTTGAGTGTCTTGTTGTGTGTCATGATGTGTCATAGATGTGTATGCATGACTGTAAAACTCTGTTATTAGTATCATAAATGCCATCTTGAATTTTTCTGCTAAACATTTTAAACTGCATGTTTTTCAAGATACCTGCACATTCCTCTAATGGATGCTGAAAGAGCTTGGAGTCATGCTATGGAGTTAAAACTGTTGGCAAACACTGAACTTCGCAAAAAGTTCCATTACATCAGAAGGCTGCGCAAGGCTGCAAGCCATGCTAACCAGTTGGAAGAGCTGTGTTATGCTGAAGCCTGTGATGCCAGGACTAAGCTTGAGGCCCAAGTATATAATAGTCCATTTAGAACTACAGATTTTTTTTACTTTGTCCTTGATATTACTTTACTGTACTCAAACCAAGTTGAACTCAACCTTATCTAACTATAAAGTATGTACAGTATATTCCCCAGTAGGAAAATTATCTTACTTTCAATGTACTGTATGTAGACAGTGAAGACCGGTGGAGTTTTGAGAAGAATGGTGATCTCTAGATTGCCCTTTAAGTGGTACTATGATTAGCCTGTGTAGCAAGCGTTTCTGTGGGGTTTGGAAGCAAAGAAAGACCGAGGAACAGGATTTTCAGTGTTTTGTCTGCGTGGAAAATGGGGCGAGAACCAAAAAAAAGGAAAGAGGGGGGTGGGAGAGGAAGAGGAAGGAAACGCTTGCAGACAAACCCTGGATTTTGAAAACCTCCGTTCGCCAGCGAAGGGAGCTCATGATTGGCTGGGCTATTCCAATATTATTGACATGCGTCGATCAAAGGTATTTTAATACTTTTGAGTGCCATTCACAAGGGGAAGATGTGTTCGAAGCTTGGTTACAAAACGCTTTAACTTTTCTTGCTGAACGAGGATTTAGTTGTCAGCTTCGACAGTACTGTAGAAATCCTGTAGTGCAATGCCGACGCTTTGGTTTTCGAAGCCTGCACATTATTGCAGAAGCAAGCACGACACAATTTGCAGCTGTTCCTTTAATTTTAACATCACTTTCTTGAATGCCACATGCGCCAAGGACAAGATAATAAAC